ACGAGTTCTCCGACCTTGGTGATGTGATTCGGGTTCGCCTTCGTGCTGCTCTTGTAGTACTCGGCGGCGATGAAGAAGGGAACCTGCTCGCCTGTCACGAGGTAAGGTCAACTAATCTAGATTGAACGCAGGACAGCGACTAACCGGTGGTAATGTTGTCTGCGGTCAGTGCATAGTAGTCTGCCTTGCGCTGAGACAGACTCTGCTGCCAGTTGACGTGCACTGGGGCTCCAGCACTTTCGGCGTCAAACAACGGGATCATGATCTCTTGACCAGACTCAACGGGAGAAGGCATATTGGATGAAGTGGTAGGGATGGGATGGTTTGAAGGATGAGTGGACGACTGTAGCTGGGAGCTGATGAGTTGAGTGATAAAATCAGTGCGCCTTTTATACATTGGAAACTGCCAATGTAGACCGAATTGACCACATAGGCAATGCCCCAGAAGTGGCACGAGACGGAGAGCAACTGCTCCGGTACGCTTCCAATCCCGCCTTGCCGTAATGACATGTGACGCAGGAGTTTGATCCCAGGCCCCCAATGTTCCTGTCCCATTGTATTCTAATGGTGTTATCCGCGTGGTCTGAATATTGGACGGAGAGGTGAGCCGCCTAGAGTTTCTGCTGATAGTTCCCATTAACTCGCAAGACCAAGTGTGCATTCATCCTCGGCATCGGGCTTAGCGACATGTAATTGCTCTACCCTGGCCTGCCCACTTTACAAAATTCATTGGTCTCGCCGCAAATATTTTCGCGATCATCGGACAGCCATCTTTCACTCATTTATCTCATTTGTTGCATGTCCCCATTTGCCAGGAAATATTTATACGCGAAAAGCAATCCGGCAGCCATCACGACAAGTCTTGCTCCAGGCTCTCAATTCCAGGGGTAGTGTGAATGTTGATATATGAAGAACTCTCGTTCACGTAGAGTGTTGCAATCATTTATTACCTCAAACCCCCTTCAGTATTATGGATCGTTTAGGTTCAACGGGTGGCACATCTCTGCAATTCCACTTCAACGTGGTTAGCATCTTGGACCGAGTCTTGCATATTCCATTTGATGCCCCTCAAATTCCAAGCCGAATACATATCTTTACGTACCAGAGTCACTCAGTCTATTTGAGTCATCTTGCAAGTTTTGTAAACAAGGGGTGAAAGGTAATTGTAGTGACCGTTGACGGGCAAAATTCGCAGATTTTCTGCGGTGTCTAGGCCAGGGGTAGAGTGATTTTTCAGCTTGACAGGGACGTTAAGCCCGGTGCCGGGGATGAACACACCCGTCCTGCATACACTCTGTCTTTCAATTAAATGGGAACTCAGCAGAAGCACTTGCCAAATTCATTCGTGGATCGGCTCACCTTTTGCGTATAATACCAATAGAATACAGTGCGACAGGGATACTGGGCAGCTGGAATGAACCTCCTGCGTCGCATGTCATTACGGCGAGACGGTGTAGTGCGGAGGCCGGATTGGAAGCCTGCCGAACCAGTTTGCTTTCACCTGTCAATGGGGGCTCGCTCGTCTATGCGGTCATTTCGGTCTAGATAATCGGACTGATAAGTTCTAACAATCGAAAACAAGCGGTCAGTTTAACCAAACTTCTGTACAGGGTATAATGGAGAGAGGGATGAGTAGCAGAAGGGCGAAACATGGGGAAGTTTATTGTTAAGGATGACCAAGGACAGTGGAAACTTAAGGAAAGCCGCTCAGGAAAAGAGGGGACTTGAGGAACCCTACGGGCCTGATCGAACTTATGGATGAGCGATCACATTTTGCCGACCTACCGCACGGGAACTCGGAGAACACGGCTAAGATCGGGGTAAACGAGGGATCTCCGGGATATATTGAAGGGGGTTACGATGTAAGGCGAGAAATAGGGAACAGGACATTGTCGAGGCGCTGGTTAATCATCTCCTGGGCGAGCGCTCCATATCCCTCCAGTATCCACTCCAACCGAAGTGCGCGAAGTTCGTCGGGGTCGGACATCCCGCGAAGCTCGATGGCGTATAAGGCCGTAAGCATAACTGGGTAAATAGCGCGGTACCGGGCGAAGATAGCGTGTTTGTAGAGCGGTGCGTAAGAAAGAACACGGCGACCGAAAGGGGCTCCTAAGCAGGGCATATTCAGCGGAACGCTAAGTTCAGTAAGGCAAAAACGCACTGAACTGGTCGAACTGTGGGCTACGGCGGAAGAGCTCCCATTCGAAGAAGTAGGAGTAGGTGCAGGTCAGACAGAGTCTTTTCTCGCAGCGTTTGCAGGGAAGTCCCCAGGTAACGAACGTGCAAGGGACCAGTGCGAGTCGGCACTCAGAACAGGCAAAGGGTGGCTGAAGACCTAAGTTAAAGTCGCGGTAAAGGGAGTTTAGCAGGAGGGGCTTACGACCATGTCCTCCAGCATAAAAGTAGTAAATAACTCGTCGGGGCTTTTTAGACTCGAAGCAGCGCTGTGAGGCGGCATGGCGGGGAAAGACAAAAATCTGAGGCGCACTCAGGAGAACTAAGTCCAAGTAACCCATTTAATTGAAAGACAGAATGTATGCAGAACGGGTGTGTTCATCCCCGGCACCGCGCTTAACGTCCCTGCCAAACTGAAAAATCACTCTACCCCTGGCCTAGACACCGCAGAAAATCTGCTAATTTTGCCCGTTAACAGTCACTACAATTACCTTTCACCCCTTGTTTTAAAACCCCCAAGTTGACTCAAATAGGCTGTGTGCAAGTGAGTGCCTCTGGGTAGAGATTTTGATATATGCATTCGGCTTGGAATTTGAGGGGTATCAATTCACAATACCCCTGGAATTGAGAGCCTGGAGCAAGACTTGTCGTGATGGCTGCCGGATTGCTTTTCGCGTATAAATATTTCCTGGCAAATGGGGACATGCAACAAAGGAGATAAATGGGTGAAAGATGGCTGTCCGATGATCGCGAAAATAGGTGCGGGGAGACCGATGAATTTTCTAGAGTGGGCAGACCAGGGGAGAGCAATTACATGTCGCTGAGCCCGATGCCGAGGATGAATGCACACTTGGTCTTGCGATTGAATGAGAAATATCAGCAGAAACTCTATGCGGTGATTTCAGGAGAATCGGCTCACCTCCCCGTCCAATATTCAGACTACGCGGATAACACCATTTGAATACAATGGGACAGGAACATTGGGGGCCTGGGATCAAACTCCTGCGTCACATGTCATTACGGCGAGGCGGGATTGGAAGTGTACCGGAGCAGTTGCTCTCCATCTGGTGCCACTTCTGGGGCATTAGCTATGTGGCCAATTCGGTCTACATTGGTAGTTTCAATTGTATAAAAGGCGCACCGATTTTATCACTCAACTCATCAGCTCCCAGCTACAGTCGCCCACTCATCCTTCAAACCATCCCATCCCTAACACTTCATCCAATATGCCTTCTCCCGTTGAGTCTGGTCAAGAGATCATGATCCCATTGTTTGACGCCGAAAGTGCTGGAGCCCCAGTGCACGTCAACTGGCAGCAGAGTCTGTCCCAGCGCAAGGCAGACTACTATGCACTTACTGCAGACAACATCACCACCGGTTAGTCACTGTCCTGTGTTCAATCCAGATTAGTTGACCTTACCTCGTGACAGGCGAGCAGGTTCCTTTCTTCATCGCCGCCGAGTACTACAAGAGCAGCACGAAGGCGAACCCGAGTCACATCACCAAGGTTGGAGAACTCGTTGAGGGCGGTACGCTAGCTTTATACTTTCCTCATCCTGCTCTTCTCATCGCTTGTCCAAAAGAGGGCTACAAAGTGAAAGTCGACGGCAGGTTGCAGTACGGCCAGAAGAATGCTCAGGGCGAGCTTCGTTTCATTGTCTACCATGATAAGGAGCGCAAACCGTACCAGGTAAGTGTTACAATTGCTCCAGAGGCGAGAGACTGACGGAAATCATAAGCACCGTTTTATTGAAACCGCCGTGGGTTCCGCGACGGCAGGCAAGGCTGCGGAGATGGCCAAGGCCTTTGGTGTCGGGGGGGCTGCCGGTGACCAGATCATGGACCACCTCAAGGCCATCGTCGGCGACTACCTCCACACCTTCTAGGTGCAGATGGTGAGCAAGGATTTACTTACAAACATTCGATTGATGGCTCACAGACGCCCAAGCATCTCATATATGGTGGAACTTTGGCTCCGATACGATAAATGGGGAGAAAACCAAGTACAAAAGCATATAACGAGAAAATCCACACATTATATACTTTATGCCTGTCTTCTGTTTACTTCAGTTATGACCATCTTGTTGCTAAATCGCGAATCGCGTTTTTCTTACGTCCAATAAACAAAAAACTTTCTGTCCGCCCAGTGACACGATTTGTGCCAAACAACAAAAGCGCTCCTATCTCGAATGAGCTTTATAAGCTAAAGGATCTCTCTTGCGGCGAACCACTTAACTTTGAATGTCAGTAGTATTGAATATTCGTTCAGTCCACTTACATCGCTGGCCGCCAATTCTATTAACATCTGCCACAGCCACGGTCCATACCTGCTCCTAATACGGAGGTGAGCGATCCCCAGCAGCAAAGGGTGCCTGTTCGAATCAGGCCCGAGCCATTGGCGGAAGGCAAGGTATAATTTCGTCCTTGAAGGACAAGGAAATACTGCATAAGCCGGGGTTGAGTTCTAGGGAAGTAAGGCTCCGTGGTGGATGGTCCACATCTGCTCTGCATAGGGAATGTGTGAAAGTAACAGCAGGAAGTGCCTGTTCGAATCAGGCCCGAGCAATTGGTCCTTTCCGATTGCCTTTTTATCTCTGCTAACTGCTGAAAAAACCCTGCATAACTCGGAGTTGAGCTGGGGGCTGGAAAGGCTCAATGGTGCCAGTGGAAGGTCCACGCCTGCTCTGCATGCGGACTCAAGTGATAACAAACAGCAGGAGGTGCCTGTTCGAATCAGGCCTGGGCTGTTAGGCGATGGGACATAATTTTGTCTGCGAAGAGGAGAGGAATGTTGCGTAGATTGAGGTTCAGTTCAGGGTAAGAAAGGCTCAGTGGTGGATGGCCCACACCTGCTCCATATAGGTCGAGGGGAAGTTCCACAGCAGGCAGAGTCTGTTCGAATCAGGCCTGAGCCATTCCTGATCGTCATCTTTTATCCGGGAAGGTGAGAGGAATGTTGCGTGAATTGAGGTTGAGTTCAATGTAAATGAGGCTCGGTGGTAGATGGTCCACGCTTGCTCCATATGAGTTCGTAAAGCTTTCACAGCAGGAGGTGCCTGTTCAAATCAGGCCTGAGCCATTCGTCAAACTGCCTCCCTTTTGTCCGGGAACGGGAGAAGAATGCCGCATAAATTGAAGTTGAGTTCGAGGGAATAGAGGCTCGGTGGTGGATGGTCCACACCAAAATCTTTGAATGAAGACTGGCAGGTCATGTAGGAGTCGTCTGTTCGAATCAGGCACGGGCCATCGTTGAGGTGCATTGTCTTTTTCTGCCGAGAGTATCAAAGTATTTGCTAATTTCACTTGTGTTTAACAGCGTGCTTCAAGTTGTCCGTTTAACCGTATGTTAGACGCATTGAATTTTACGCAGTGTATGAGGCGGCAGGCCGTAGTTTCCGTGGCAGCTGCCCGATATGCCAGTGGGCAAGACCCACTACTAAATGGCGCCTGAAAATGCAAACAAATGTTGCGAGCTTTGCTGAAGTCCGATAGTTCCGTCGACGTCGGAATCGGTCTCCCGAGCACGGATATTCGCCAGGTTGTGCAAGGTTGATGGTTTATGAACAGTTCTACTGGGTATCAATGGGGACAAACACGAAAAAGAAATTGAAAAAGGAAAGAGGGAAGGGAGGAGAGGAGAATTTCGTTGGAAACCCCGATGACCATTTAAATGTTTGCTTATTAGACAGGCAGACTCGCTGAAGTGGAGATACTGACAGTATCAACTCGGATCGGAAGAAGTGATTGAATTTAATTGTAACCAGGGCTACACAGTTTGGGGCTTGTTGTATGGACAGAAAGAAAGCTGCAGCCTCCTGAAATGTCTACAAATCATGTAACGAGGTCCGAAGTTCCACAGCTGCATCTGCGGCGGCCGCATCTGATGGTCATTCTTCGGTTGTTCAAAATCCTCGTAGTGGGAAAATCACAGCTGGCAAGAATGCAGCTCCTGCCACTGTGCAGACGGAAATTGATGAGTATGAGGATGTTGAGAGCCATAAGATTACAGGGAACGAGAATGGATAAGACCTCGCCTGGAGTGAACCAAAAAGAGAAAGAATAATCACGGGTGGATATCGGTAGCAGGAGGTGAGGCTGGAGGGACAAAACACAGCATTTCCTAACAAGATGTCACGGGTAGTTCTCGTTGGGAGCACAGGCTGAACTGAACGGACAAGGACGAGAGTAGAAGCTCAAAGTCTGTCGGCAACATCCAACAATTGGTCGCAGAAAAATGGTCTAAGTTACTGGAGAGTTTGTGAAAGATTCAGAGAGGCTATATGCATCGTTTCCGAGCTATTTCGACGTGACTCAAGCACCAGAGGTCCAGAATCGGGCTGCGGGACAAATTCCGAGGTTCGCGCGGAAGTCCATTTTTTCCTGTTGTTTCCGGGGATTCAGGCTGAGGAATCAAATGAAATAGACCCAGAGACGGCATAGAAGCATGAATACAGTGCTTCGACGGTAGAGGGAGGCCAGCCGCGCAAAGAGTGAGGGTTGATGGCAATGGCAGATAACTGTGACGTGATGAATTATCTGCCAGTCACGCAATTATCTGCCACCTCAGTTTCAAAGCACACACGGCTAGTGGCAATTTGAAAAGTCAATCCGTCTCCGGATTCCTTCAGACACATCCCTTATTATTTTCATGATTTTATGAGGCCTACGCATGACGCTACGAGGCCCGTGGCAGATAGCCGTACAGCCACATGGCAGATGACACCCAGTTGATCCGTTAATAAACCAGGTTGATGGCGGTGGCGCACACGCTGCCGTACAGCAGGTCCAAATACAGGCCTGCTCCGGGCTCCCTGCTCTCACGACGAGAATGCATATCCCATTCGTGCCCGCGGGTCAGTCTGTCGGGGAAGGTAAGGCTCACGCGTGGATGGGTTGAAGAAGATTGACCGGGTAGACTTGATAGGCCCAAATGGGTTGCCTAAATTATTTATTATAATAATTACTGCCAGGATGACCTTCGCGGTGCTGTGCGCGCTGTACGCAATCCTCGGCGACGTTCTCAGCGACATCGAAGCCGTCTACGCCCAGGCCGACCCGACCCCTACCCCGACCCCGACCCCGTCCCCGCCGCCGCCGTCGCACAGAAAGGCCCCGTCCTTCTCCAAGGCATACGCCAGCTCCCCGCCCTCACCGTCGTCCGCCCTCCCGGGCCCCACCGCCGCCAACTCCACGCGCCTCGACTTCCCCTCGCTCGACGCGCCGTGTGACCCCGCGTCCACCAGCGAGCAGCTCACGACGCACCCCGCCGTCGTCGCTACCACCAACTGCATCGCCGCCGCGTTCGTGCAGGTGCCCTTCCTCTCGCTCTGCAACGCGAGCAGGAGGTACCATCTCCCGTCCTGTATCCGCCTGCTCGAGGCCGCGCACGTCCCCAAGCTCCTGCGCGTCGGCCCCGTGCACATCCGGGAGATCGTTGCGCGTGAGCAGACGACGTTCGGTAAGTGCTGTCTTCTGCTGCGTTACTGGTGTGTTGAGATGCGCCGCGTGCAGCACACATCCTCCGCCTGCTCGCGACGCACCACCTCCTGCGCGAGGCCACGCCGGATGTCTTTGCCACCAACCGCATCAGCTCCCTCCTCGAAACCGGCAAGCTGCTGCACGCCCTCGTCGCACAGTGCGTTCCTCTCCTCTGTTCTCGTCTCTGTTCAGCCTCCTTCCCTGTTTGTCTTCCTTCCTCGCGCTCCCTTCCTCGCGCTCCCATCTCTTCGCGCGTTTTCTTGTTTTCTTCCCGTTTTTCCAGCCCACGCCTCTACTGTTCTTCGACCCATTCGGCCTCTCACTTCACCCTCCCTTCATTTCCGTGTCTCCATCTCTCCATTTCCATTTCTCAACGCCACCCCCTCCACCCCCTCCTAGTGGCCCCCTTCGCCTCCTGCGGCCCCATCACACTTCGCTCGCTTTCGCTTTCTGCTTCTCATCTCGCCCACCTGCTCCCCCGCGCTTCCATTACGTGCGCCCTTCTACGCGCCGTTCCTGCGGCCCTCCTGCCTCTTCGGGCGTCTTCGTGACGCGCTGAGACTTATTCTTGACTTCTTCGCGACTTTGCGTGCGGCCGAATCCGCTTCGGCTCTCGGTTCGAGTGCGCGTTGATTTTATTTTTATTCGCCATTCGTACACGCGGTTTCCGGTTTCTGCTTTTTGCTTGTACAGTCGAACCGGGCTCGTTCTGCGTTTCGGTTTCGGTTTCGGTTTCGGTTTCCATTTTCCATTTTTTGCGTGCGTTGGTTGGTTCGCGGGTTTCCTGTACTTCTTTATTGTTTATTCGGCTATGTATCTGGTCCTGTCCCCTTTGCTCTCCGTTCTCCCCTCCCCCCTTCTCCCTCCCCGGGTTACCTGCCAACCCTAACTATCAACCAATCGGCCGACCAAACGTACTGAGCCCCCCCGTTTTTTTTTGTATAGCCCGGAGCGCAACTACGGGGACGACACGAGCGGCGGGGCCGCATTTGTTGGGCTTTGGTGGGTGCCGTTCTCTTTCTTTGTCCTTCTTTTTTATTGGCTGCCCGTTGGTTTTGGCGCGTTGGCTGGCGGTTTGGTTTGGTTTTGGATTCGCTTGCCACGCGGACCGGTTATCCGCGGCTTGCATCCCGTTCTCGGTGTGTGCTGCGACCTGCACGGTGGTTGGTTTTCCTTTGGATTTTTCTTTCCCCGTTCGATTTATTTGCATGCTCGTCGTGTTCTGCGGCGTGGGAGGGCGCATATATGCACCTCTTTGCGCATATAGGCACCTTTTTAGCGCGCATATAGGCATCTTTGGCGCGCATATACGCACCCTCCGTACTTGAACTGCTGGATCGTATTCTGGATTCTTGATGTGTTGCGAGGTCGAGTTGGGTGCACGATATACGCGCCTTTTTTCGGGAATGCACGTGCTTCTTAGCCTCGTCTCGCTCCTTGTCTTGCGTTTCTGATTTCATATCTTGAACATGTTGTACTGATATCTTTCCTGCAGCACGGACGAGCTGTACAAGTCGAGCGCGTACCTGACCTAGTCCGTCTTCCCCGGCGCGACGTGGCTGTACCTGACCTTTGACACGGAGCCTACGCGTAATACGAGCGCTGACACGAGTATGAATGTGAATGCAGCGGGTAATGGCGCAAACCGGCAGCGAACCGACGCGCGTGCCGTTCAACTCGCGTTTGGGTGCCGGGGCGTCGGGTACTTTGCGTGGCTGGAGGGCGAGGGTGGGCGCCGGGGGCGGGGGTGGGTGCTCGAGCCGTTGGCGGGGGCGGGGGCGGGGGCGGGGGCGGGGGCGGGGGCGGGAACGGGAACGAGAACGGGTACCCCAGTGCGAACGGGAAGACAGCTGCGAAGCCCGCGAGTCCGAACCCGAACCGGTTCCGGCTGGAGCGCATCGGGAAGGCGATGGCGGGGACGGGGAGCTAGGAGGCGCCCGGGACGGTGTTGCATGGTGGATTTGCGCTCTCCTTTCTTCTTTCGTTTTCTTTTCGTTTTTTTTCTTCTTTTTTCGTTTTTATACTTCCTTGCTGCGCTTTTCGTCATTATTGACGCGCGTGTGGCAGGCAGGCTTTGACTGGGGGGCGCTGCCGCGGGGGGGCGTGGTGGTGGATGTGGGAGGCGGGATAGGGTCGACGAGCATGCTACTGGCGAGCGCGTATGCGGGAGTGGATGCGGAGGGTGCGTCTCTTGTTCTTCCTACCCTGCTCTTCGCCGTTTATGCATAGACTGACGTGCAGCATGCACAGGCGGCGGCGGGCTGCGGTTCGTGATCCAGGACCGGCCGGTGGTCGTCGAGATGGGCGAGAAAGTGCTTTGGCTTTTGCGTGGTGTTGTTTCTTTTTCCACTGCTCTTCCCCCTTCAAGTTGCGCTGACGAATGCTCACGAATCGATGAGATGCTCAGCAGTGTAAAGAATTGTTGCGGTAGATGTGC